CCAACCATATGACATTCTGGACAAAACAGAACTATGGAGAGAGTAAAAAGATCAATGGTTGCCAGGGGTTAGGGGGGTAGGAGGGATGAACAGGTGGAGCACAGGGAGATTTTAGGACAGTGAAATGATTCTGTATGACGTTATAGTGGTGGATGCACGCTTTTCTGCATTTGCCAAAACCCATAGAATGTGCAACACCAAGAGAGGTCCCTAATGTAAACTGTGGATGTTGGGTGATGGTGGCGTGTCAATGTAGCCTAATCAGTTTTAATAAGTGCAATGCTGTGGTGGGGGACGTTGATAGTGGAGGAGGCTGTGAGGGTGTGGGGCTGGGAGGTACATGGGCACTCTTGGTAATTTCTGCTCAATTTTGCTGGAAACCTAAAATTGTTTCAAATGTTAAACTTTAGTATTTAGAAAGTCTCAGAAAAAGCATGCTGAAGTTTTAGATTGGATAATATTGTAAAATAACTTAAAAATCACCCATATTTAAGCAATTGTTCTCTAATAGCTATTTCTGGGAGTGTTCTGTCTAGCCCACTTCTTCTCCTAGTGGAAAGGTCTTCCTCCCATAAATCTGCATAGATGGATAGTGAGTTAACTGAGTCGCTTTATTTTTACTCCCATTTTCACTTGATGACTGCCCTGTATTTTTTTTTAGAACTCCTGAAATAATACGGACAAATTAATTAAGATGACAAGTTGAGTATGAATATTACATTTCCTTTTTAGTATCATGATTTGGAGAGACTGTAATTTGAATTTACTGCATTTTAATCCCTAAAATACCTATTCAGTCTTTGGGGCGAGGAGAAAAGAATGTCTTTGGGACACGTTTTGCTTTAGGCAAATGGACCTTCTGTCTTGGTAGAGGCTCCCAAGGAGTGTGGGGAGGAAACCTCTAGATGCACCCAGGCACTCAGCAGCTCCAACTCATGCAACTACCATGCCTTCTCTTTGCTTGTTCCTGAGCTTGGTCACCCCTTCCTACAAGAAAAAAAGAAAAAAATGTGACAGAGCAGTCAGCCTTCCGGCCTGGACACAGACCTGGCCCCCAACCCAGGGCCTCCAGAAGGTGAATGGGCATCATCAAATGCTTTTTCAGGTTTCAACAAGAGTCATGGAAATGATTTCTTTCCGCCAGGGAACTCAGAGGTCATGGTGTTTTCAATGAAGTTTGTCTGGAAAAAAAGGTGTGAAGAGGGAAAAGGATCCTTGCTGTATGAGCTTCTGCGGCTCACGTGCCTTTACTTCTATCTTTTTTCATAGAGATGACGTCCAAACACCATCTAAAAGGCAATCGTCAGATGGTGAGGTTAAGATGAAGATATTTCCTTGCTACAGTTCTACCCAAGGGACAAGATGAATTTTATCCTCTGAGTTCTTGCCCCATCTTGTCCAGGATGTCCAACTGGGCTAAACTAATAAAATCAAACCCGGCATCTGGCCAGAATCAGCCTTGAGTGAATGACCTCGTCCAGTGATGATGCCCTGGGTGGGGAGCAGCTCTGAAAACATGCATCACTGCGGGGCGCGGTGGCTCAAGCCTGTAATCCCAGCACTTTGGGAGGCCGAGGCAGGCAGATCACCTGAGGTCGGGAGTTCGAGACCAGCCTGACCAACATGGAGAGACCCTGACTCTGCTAAAAATACAAAATTGGCCGGGCGTGGTGCTGCACGCCTGTAATCCCAGCTACTCAGGAGGTTGAGGCAGGAGAGTCACTTGGACTGGGCAGGCAGAGGTTGCGGTGTGTTGAGATTGCACCACTGCACTCCAGCCTGGGCAGCAAGAGTGAAACTCCTCAAAACAAACAAAAACAAAAACAAAATAAAAAAACAAAACCATGCACCAGCTTTCTCCTGTTATCACCACCTCCCAATCCTCCTCTGATCCAACAGACCAAGTTGGGTCCCTGCTCATGCTGCCCTGCACCTGTGCACACCTTCATCTGCTCATGCTTTCAAGTAGAGAGCGCTTTGGTGATGTGGTGGGCAGCCCCGCAGGCTTAGGTGAACCTGAGGGGACATGGTCAGCAGCTCCGCTGGCTTAGGTGTCCCTGGGGCAGGGGCTGAGTCTTGCTCATCACTGATGCCAGTACCCAGCCCCTCTTGCTCAAGGAGGGGTGCTGGGCATCATGGCCAGAGGGCTGCAGGCCTGCCCAGCTGCTCCTTATCACAGTCTCTGGGCTCCTGGCTTCTTTGGAAATTTCTGTTTTGGTTTTCAAAGCATATCCCTTCTTGCTGACAAGCGGTTGTTTTTTAAAATCATAGACATGGCAAGAGTCAAAAGTCCTCCAGGGTGAGAGTGAACACATATTGTGAGGGTCAACATGCTGGCATCAGCACGTCCAAGGGGGCCCTCGGGATGTCCCCCGATGCAATGATGTCCCCCATCATTTGTGCCCAGCAACTTCCACATGTCTCCCTGGTTCTCCTCGTGTTCTACCCCTCTCAGGCCCTGGATGCTGACCAGAGGGGCTACATCTGTGGGCCTCCTTCCCCTCTGGCTTCTGCTAAGTTTGGCCAAAGGGACCTGGGCAGGGCTGTGGAGAGAGAGAATGCAGAGCGCTCAGAGCCTTTATTCTCTGCTCCCTCTCCCGGGGCAGGCTGGAGATGGCTGTGCCCCTCCTGTAAGGGCTTGGCTCCTGTTGGGTGGTCCTCTGCTCTGGGGCTCACCTCAGGACTCCCCAGTTCCCCGTCCCCAGTGGTGGTGACAGAGCCTTGCTGTGATTCCCGGGTGTGGCCTCCCTGACTGTCCCTACACCTCTGTACTGACCCCCTTTTGGGACTTTCTGAGAGTTGCCCAGTTCAGTTGAGTGTGCTGTCCTCTGTGCAGGCTGGGGTGGAGTTGAGAAAGACCAGTTCAACCCTCATTCAGACCCTGCTTGCTGATATGTCCTCCGCTCTGTGGTGCTGTGGCCACCCAGGACCAGCTCCCCGTCACCTCATCCCTGCACCCAGTGCTACCCAGATGCTTTTCCTGCTGTGGCCACGGAATCTGAATGGCCAGAGTCCTGCCAGCTACATATTAGGGTGGGCTTTCTGGTGTTTGTCTGGGAGCAGTGTGGAGATGTGGATTGTTAAAAACCACGTTCTACCAGCAGATCTTGGCTTCAAAGAGCACCTTCTATTGTGTAAATGGAATTGAAAAAGCTCATCATGGAAAACAAGAAGCATTTTCAGCTCCTAAATTAGAGAATTTATGGTAATAAATCAAGAGAGTCTGCTCTAATAATCACAGGAAAAAACATGATAATAGGATTTAATCTTAAAATATTTCTAACATAATATTAGAAAAATTATATTTCACCTAATGTCTGGTTAACCTGTTGTGAATGTATGCAAATATTTCAGGAAATATTAATATATACTGCCAGCTTTAGCTAATTAAAGAAATAGTTTTAGGAGTAACGGCCTCCTGATAATTTAATCACTGTTCAGTCTTTGCAGATAATTATGGTATTTGTTATTAAGTTCTCTCCGATTTTCCAAGGAATGAGAAATCTGATATAACCTTTTACTACGTGAGCCAAAAATTAAATTTTATTTAATTGTGAAAATTATTGTGATCTGAGGATTTTAGAGCCTAATTCCAGAAACATTTCTTTCTTCTAGAACTGCCCAGTGTTGCATTTTACAGCTCTTGAACTCTGGGTTGCTGAGGAAGTGAACAGCTCTATGGCCAATAAAAGGCAATTAGGCTGAGATAAATTGTTGTAGAACAAATGATCTCATAAGAAGGTTTCCTTATGCTTACGCCTTATGAATAATTTTCTCACAAAGACTTTTTGAGGTATAATTTTAAAAATGATATTAATCATAGCATTTTTAAAAATAAAAAAGTGAAATGATCCAGAGTGTTTAATGATAATTAGGTGGCCCAATAAATAACTTGCACTTATGTAATCCACATTAAAGGCAATATGATTCAGTCTTTAAAATTAAATTTTCAGAGTTCTTAAGACTGTTATAGTTATAACTTTAAGTGAGAAAAAGAGTAAATTATTTAAATTGGCAGGACAAAAAAAACTATAGGAAAAAAAAACTGAAAGGAAATATATAAAAAATATTAAGTAGGTCCCCCAGAGTGGTGAAATTATACAGGTCGAACATCTTGAATCTAAAAATCTGACATCGGAAATGCTCCAAAATCAGAAACTTTCTGAGTGTTGACATAATGCTCAAAGGAAATGCTCATTGGAGTATTTTGGATTTTAGACTTTTGGATTCAAAATGCTCAACCAGTAAGTGTTATGTAAATATTCCAAAATCCAAAATTCAAAGCATTTCTGGTCCCAGGCCTTTTGAATAAGAGATAACCTGTACGAGATTTTCATTTTCTTATTTTCTACTTCTGTTTATTCTCCACATTGTGTACCTGGCACATAAAAGATGTTCAGTAACTAAATATTGTTGAGTGAATAATCAGGGTAAGAACTCATTACTTTTTAGTCTTTTTTGGTAACTTAGGTTACGAGGTCTGCAGGGCCAGTGTTGTGGAAGGCACCGCTCTCTCCGACTCTTGGCAGGAGAAAGAGACATTGACTGCCTGTCTGCCAACAATGCCAGTCCCTTGTTAGGATACAAGGATGACTGTGCCTGGTGCCCTCGCTACTGGAGCTCCAGTCCAGAGCTGGTGATGGGTCAGTGGACAAAGGACCATGATAAAAGAAAGAATGGAGCAAGGACAGTGATCAAGTTCTCAGGGTGATTTGCTCACTGAACATCCCTGCCCCACTGAAGCAGGCAAACCAGGGGACTTGACTTGGCCGATGAAATTGGAGTACAAGTGTCATGTGGGAGTAAGGCCATGTGACTTGCCTTGGCCAATGAAATGTGAGCAGAAGTGTCATGGGGCTCTCCTGGGCAGAAGCTAAGAGCCACCATTTGTTCACCATGCGCTCATTTCCTGTCTCTCTGACAGGCTGCCATGCTCCAGTTTGTAGGTGTCCATCCACCTGTGAAGGGCTGAGCCAAGTCCTGGGCATGGGGTGAGTGACAGGCAGATCTTCGTGGTGGGAAGCCTCTGTGATTGCAGGACATTTGTTACTTGGTATAACCCAGCCTGTTCTAACTGACAGGAAACACAGCTCTGATTTACAGATAACACTGTACTAACGAGTCTATCACGTGCATCTTGATTGACATCCTTGAATGCCATTGTAGGTTGGGGGATGGGGTCTGAGTTCTGGTCCTTTTTCCCCAGGCTTCATCTCCTGTGTCAATTCAGGCAAGAGGAAGAGAGAGGAGGAAGCTTCCAGATCCAAGCCAGAGGAGGTGGATGCAGCACCCATCGCCCAGAGCTTTGGGGCCTGGCCCAGCCTCTACCTGGCCGAGACACCCAACCCCAACCCCACCCACTTGGGCATGCAGAAGAGTCTGAGACGGTGCACACTGACCCGCGGCAGAGTTACAGGTGACATTTGTTTTGTTTCTACATCCTAAACCTTTCTACGGTAGATGAACGTGTTGTAATAGGACTTTTGCTGCTAGTTAGAGATGCACGTTGCTGATGCACCCTCTGCAAGACCTTCTGGCACCGTGGTCCTCAGCCTTTTTGGCACCAGGGACACGTTTTGTGGAAGACGATTTTTCCACAGACTGGGAGTGGGGGGATGGTTTGGGGATGAAACTGTTCCATCTCAGATCATCAGGTATTAGGGTCTCACAAGGAGTGGGCAACTGAGATCCCTCGAAAGCACAGTTCACAATAGGGATTGTGTTCCTATGAGACTCTAATGCCGCAGCTGATCTGACAGGAGGGGGAGCTTGGGCGCCAATGCTCCTCAGCCTGCTGCTCACCTGCTGTGTGGCCTGGCTCTTAACAGGCCACAGACTGGTACCGGTTCATGGCTGGGAGTTGGGCACCCCTACCCTGCTGGACAGGGAGCCTCTAAGGTGTCGTGGCTGCCAGTGCAAAGCCTGCCTCCCTATGCCTCCCCTGTAAATCCCCTGCACCTCCCTGCACCTCTCTCTGGCCCTACTCCAGTGCCCTTCTTGGTGATGATGAGGCAATTGAGGTCAGGGGCTTATTCCCCAGTTGCCACTGGCAATGGGGTTCCTCTGTGTGCTGGATTGGCGAGGGGACTAGCTCCCAAATTCTATCCTGAAAGTCTGCTTTCTAGAGCTTTCAGGTTTGGTATCAGTGGTCTTGGATGGAGCTTCTCCAGCAGAGCTAGGGACAAAGACTTGAGTTCAGGCTGTTTCCTTGGGCAGGGGTCTCAGGGCTCAGGCGAGCAGGAGTGAGGAGAGCGAGGGAGGGAAGGAGTGAATGGGAATACCGGATGGCTTATCCAATCAATAGCTGCTTGGGGTGACTGGTGCTGGGCCCTCTGAGACCTTCTGAGGCCCTTTATGAAATGCATCTCAGCACAGTCCCCTTGGGAGAGTAAAGGAAAGAGAATTTGTTATCTGCTTCTGTCCTGGCCAGTGGAGGCTCTGTGTTGGTGACCTGCATACCTGTGATTGCTGAGCAGCCTCCTGGAAGGTGGCCCTTCCCAGGGCCAAGGCAGGAAGTAAGAGGTGAGCAGGTCTCTGAGCCCAGGTGGTGTCAGGTGACACCTGTGCAAAGCTGATCGGAGCCTGGGAGGTGCGGTGAAGAGGCGAGGTGAGGCTGGGAGGGTTTTCATGTGGGGTATAGAAGGTATCCCATAGAATTACCTTACATAATGAGGTTTTGCACATGAGACGGGGCACACTCCTCGCTGTTCTGCACCCTGGATAATCCCTGGAGTGTGGGGCAAGGGAATGTTTTATAGAATAGGACTGGTGGGAAGGTTCCCTGTAGGGCACAGTCAAGGAGAAAGAAAGAGAGTTTGCAAAACACCAAGCTGAAGTTTAGCTGCACTCTGCAGCTTTGGCGGCCTGACCCCAGAGCACGTGCTGGTCCTGTGAACTTTGATGCCGCTGAGATTTCCCTCATGCAGTTCCCTGCTTCGAATACGTGTCTTTCACATTGGGGATGAGGTTACACTTCTCTTTCCTCAGCTGAAATGGCAACTTTTCCTCCCTGCCACCCCTCAAGTCAGACAGAAGAAAATGCTTCTTTCTCTTGCTCCCGTAGTGCCTTTGGATGGACACTTGTCACATTAGATTATAATTTAGATTATAATTCTTTTTTTTTTGAGACGGAGTCTCGCTGTCACCCAGGCTGGAGTGCAGTGGCGCGATCTCGGCTCAGTCACCCAGGCTGGAGTGCAGTGGCGCGATCTCAGCTCACTGCAAGCTCTGCCGCCTCCTGGCTTTACGCCATTCTCCTGCCTCAGCCTCCTGAGAAGCTGGGACTACAGGCGCCCGCCACCACACCCGGCTAATTTTTTTTTGTATTTTTAGTAGAGACGGGGTTTCACCGTGTTTGCCAGGATGGTCTCGATCTCTTGACCTCATGATCCACCCGCCTCGGCCTCCCAAAGTGCTGGGATTACAGGCGTGAGCCACCGCGCCCGGCCTAGATTATAATTCTTATATATGTGTATATACATCTGCTCATTCTCCTTGCCAGGCTATGGGCTTTTTGAAGGCAGAAATCGTATCTTAATTTTCTGAGTGTTCAGCACCCAGCCCAGTGACCAGTCCAGCCATGTGATAAATAACTATTGCATGGAATTAAATTATCTTGTACAATAATTACATATAAATATGTTTTATATGAATAAGGACAAAAATATATAAATAATTATTTATGTTTTATATATGTTTATGCATATATAAAACACATATATCTCCTATATATTTACCTTTACATATTATAACGACAAAATGGAATCAGGGTGCGCTTAGTTTGACTTCTCAGAAAACTCACAGTGGCTCATAGCTACCGGTTCCTTTTCACTGTGATTAGAGCCTTTTAATTTGCAACCATCTCAGTGAGATCGATTTCTAGGTATTTTCTTTAAAGCAAGTGTCTTCATTCTGTACTATGTTCTTTCAAATTTGCCTGTGGAACTTTGTGAATGTGCACGCGTGTTCATTTTCCCAGGGAGATTCTCCCAAATTTTATTAGGTTTTCAAAAGCATCCATGACCAGTTAAGAAATGCTGCCTTGAGGCTTGTACTCAGATTATATTTGTCACATGTAGGATTAACAATGAATAAATTCACATATTTTACCATTTTCCCCTAAATAGATGAGAACAATGTGTTCATCGCTACCTCTACCAAAACACAGTTGTAGTGTGGACTTCACTTTTTGGAACATGACTTGTGACACTGTTACCACCACCTGGTGGCAGCATATTTTAATCACATACTTGGTTTTTGAAATGGTGAATAAATTAGAATTAAAAAAAGAGTCAAGTCGATAAATTCAAATCTATATAATGCCGGCAATAGATGTCACTTCAGTCAAAACCCAGTGTAATTGTTTTTTTTTTCCACTGAGTTGGCCAGAGCTTTTAGGTGGCACAGGCAAAGACGAGCCACTGACAACACTGTTCCCTTAGCCTCCTTGGCCTGGGAACCAGGTTCCAGAAGTTTGCCTGTGCATAACCAAAGCTCCCAGCCAACAAGCACTTAAACTCAGAACTGCCAGGGTCCTCAGAACAGAACAAGTCTCCAGGCCCCTTTTTGCAGCAGATCGTAACTCAGTGGAACCAGTTCCATTGTGATCAGTGATCTAGGACATTCAGACTTGTACAGACTTGTGTATTTTCTATCGGAAAAGATAATCTGTTGAAAAAATTCAATGTTATCCTTAAAATGTTGACACTTATGTCTTAAAGCCATGACATTTACAGTGATGTTTCTTAGGCCCGTTTTTCTTTGTCAGGCGCACGCACGTACCCATTAGTTCCTGTGTAGGATGATAAATGCAGCGAGAGCTTGATGAAGATTTTGTGAATGAATCAGCACAGAACCCTTCTCCTTGGCCAAGTGGGTCTGACACACAACAAAGGACCTGACTTCTTCCATTTAGCACCTCTGGGGGAATCAGTTTGTTGAAGCTTCAGTGGGGCTATAGATCCACAGAATTCTTTCTTGAGAAAGCTCCTCTTGCTCAGGATTGATCTTAAAAAGCAAGAATTAGGGGAAAAAAGAAGGGGACTAACCTTTGCTGAATTTTGGGAAATGGGGATAGCAGTGCTAGAAACAAAGGGTAGGCAAGGGCCTGTCAGCCACCCTGCAAGGGAGTTGGGCAGCCAGAGGAGCCCAGTCCACCCTGAGCAGAGCCATGGGCTGTGAACGCGGCAGGTGATAGAGGGGAAGGCGCTCATGGTGGCCTGGCTCCTGCCTGATGTGCAGAAGCAGAGAGCACAGCAGCTCTCCGTCCCCTAGGGCAGCTCCGCAGGGTCAACCCGATGAGCTCTGATGCTCACCTTTCTCCTCATTTCAACTGTCACTGCTTTTGTGTAATGTTGGCCCAGCATCCCTGTAGGAGTTGGGGGGATTGGCTTTGGAATAACACCCAGGCTGAGAGCTGGTTCTGCCATTTATTCTCTGGGTCATGTCCAGCAAGTTGCTTCTCTGCATCTCATGTTTTCCTTCTGTTAAATGGGGATAACAATGGTGTCTGCCTCATGGACGGCGGTGAGAATAAAACCAGGTAATTGATGCAAAAGGCCCAGGGGCGTGTCTGGTGCATAGTAGGTGGTCAATGAATAGTAAATAGGTTTTTGAAGTTGCTTATTTCAGTTTTCTTTTGAGTAGTAGCCAGTAGAGGCCAGATGGCTTCTGAACTATCACAGTTGATTTTCTATATGCTCTCGGGTATAAAGTTTCTGCGGAATTCAGTGAGCTGCAAGGTGTCACGGAGAAGAAACAGGCTGTGGTAGCATCAGTGGCCTTTTGGGGGATTGAGTCCAGCCCTGGGCCTGGAGGAAGGAGTCAGGAGTGCCGTGGGGAGTGTCTCAGCAGGCCAATGGCAGGGGAAGGAGAAAGTCTACAGAGCAGGACTGCTGGGCAGTTTCTACTGCTGTAGGGGAGAACCAAGGAGACATTTTGCAAGTTTAGCTGCACTCCACGGCTTTGGTGACCCCAACTTAGAGTACTAGCTGTTCCCGGGAAGGTGTGGAGCAGGAAGCAAGGGACCTCTTGGCTCGGGCCAGGGTGTCTGGTTCCAGGCCAGGGTCAGTATGCACGGAGGCTGTGACTGTGGGTAAGCCAGCCACCCAACCTCACTGGGTCACAGCTGCTGCATCTGTAAATGGCGGTCACAGTGATGACAACCTCCAGTTGTTGTGAGAAGACACCATTTATGACACTTAGAGCCATGTTGGGCCCAGAGTCAGCCCTGCGGAGGCAGGAGGAATCATCAGTCATGTTGACGCAGATGTGGAGGGGTGGCTGATGCGGACGTGCAGGGGTGGCTGACGCAGACGTGGAGGGGTGGCTGATGCGGACATGGAGGGGTGGTTGACACGGACATGGAGGGACGGTTGACGCGGACGTGGAGGGATGGTTGACACAGACGTGGAGGGA